CATGGGCAGGCTCTGCACCACCCATAGGGTGCTGGGGGTCAGCAGCTGCACAAAGAGGTACAAACGTGCAAGAAAAGCTGCAGAGCACCTTTCTGTGGCAAGCTTGTTTCAAATCCTTTGACATTTATAAACAAGGGACTCAACTGAGTTCGTAATTTAAGCACTTGTTAATGACCAGTCTGTAAGTGCTGGTTGTTCAATGGTTCAGACGTGCACAGAGCTCCAGGGCAGCCTCAGTAACCTGATGCTCGACCATGGATCCTTAAACATTATGATTCACATGTTCCCTCCCATTAATTAGATTAATTCAGATTTTTTTGTTGCCACAGAAACACTGAGCTTCAGTAATATCTATCTAACCATAGTCACACCAGTCAAATACAGGTTAACCTCTTGTAACCCTTTCTGCTTGTTCTTTTTGGTTTGTGTAAGCCTAGTAAGTGAAATTTAAATAATTCCTAGTCACGTCCTCTCTGACAGTTTAAATCAGCTTTCACACTAATACCATCTTTATTAGCATGCTACTAACCAGGACAATGAAAGCTCCTTTCACCTCTCTACTCTTTTCTTTCAAATACATGTATCTAACAGCACACTCAAATTGACCCATCAATACACACTACCAAGCAGAACTGCATTCTCTCAGGCCACCTAATAAATGAAAAACTGCCATACTTCATCAAGTAAAAATGATTTTTCAGGTCCTGTCACATTCTTTAATACTTCACAATCAAGATGTTACAACTTCATCTACGATTTTATTCCAAAAACGTTAACTGACAGATTTCTTACCTCATCATTGATGACCTCAGATTGTTCTTCTTCTTCCTCCTCCTCTAGATCCAAGTCATTTTGCCTCAGGTATGCTTGGAGTGGAACACAATGTTTCTTCTTGAAAGCTAAAAAGTCCATCATATTCCCTTGAAGATGTTGCAGGAAAAACAGTTCAATCAAACATTCCTTAAAAGTTTCCTTAAGAATTTCCATCTGCTTATGGTGATGATCCAAACACAGTTTCCTCATTTGAGCAGTCTCTTGGTTGGCAGGAGGAATCTCCTCCAACTTTTTGGGTTGTTTTTTCACTGCTGTATTAGCTGTTGGAGTAAGAGGAAGACTCGACAGCCCCTGTGGCACAGTGGCCCGTGAAGGACTTGTGGGAGGAGGAGGTGATGTCATCCCAAACGCACCAGGTCCTCCAACTCCCGCTATCAATCCACCAGAAGTCCTGTCAAATCCAATGGGTCTACCCAGCTGCTGCCCTTGAAGCACTTGCTGCTGCTGTTGCATAAGCTGCCCTTGGATAATATTGCTGATCTGGGGTGGCAAGCTGGTCGTCGTAATGTGGCCCGGGCTAGTCAAGGACTGCATGTTGGCCCCGCTGGCCACGGGGCTCTGAGGGCCCAGATGGTGGATGGTGCCCCCAGACTGCGAGTGGGGCTGCGACAGCCGGCGCTCCCTCACCGGCGCCCCGGAGGAGGGAAGCTGTACTTGAGCAGCAGCTCCTTGAGCAATCTGTGCAATTCCCGGTCCTTCCTGGTACACAAAGTGTCCCCCGTTGGAAGGGCTCAAGCTGATTTGTCTCACGAGCACGCTGGCGTCCACAAATCCCCTCGTAGGGCTCTGGCTGCACATCCCCAGGCCCGGGCCCGGAGTGCCGGCCCGGACGCTGGGCAGCGTCTGCACCGGCACAGGGTTGGGCTGGGTGGGGCTCTGGGACTGCACCTGCTGGGGCAGCGGGGAAGTAACCTGGATGTAGGATGGGGATCCATGCTCGAACCGCCTCTGCTGGGGGCTGAACTGGAAGCTCGGGGACGTGGGGTTGGGCAGAGGCAGCGGGGTCAGGGTTATCTGCTGGTTTCCCGAGGCCACGGGGCCCACGTTCTGCAGAGTGATGTTCACATTCTGCCCGGCCACCGGGCTCCGGCTCATGATGAACTGCTGGATTTGGTAGCTGGGGGACTGGGGGGCAGATGGACTTGCAGAGGGCGCAAAAGAAGCTGCGGGGGACTGGGGCAGATTTGCCTGTTGTTCTTCTCCCTCACTGCCTGTGAAGGACCTGGACCTCTGGAGCTGGCGCTGGGCATTCTGAGGACCATTACCATGGTGCATTCTCACTGACCTAGGGGTTTACAGTATACTCTAAAGAAATACACAAAAACAGAAATTCAGGGAAGGTAAAATCACTTCTGTAGCTGAAACTACTTAGTTACCATTAGAAAGACTACTTTATAGCAAGAACTCTCTTATCCTGGTTTGGCAGCTACTTAAAATGTTTCAAATTATCCAAAGCCCTCAGCACAACTAAAGCTCACTTAAATCCCTCATACATTTCTCTAGTTAACAAAGTGCTATTGAATAGCTAAGATATAGAATATATTATAACTACAGCATACATCATAACTACGGAATATTATAACTAAAGAATGATATGTTCCCCTTAGCTAGTTAGAATGACTTCAAATAAATAAATAAAAAAACCAAACCAACAAAACTTTTTCCCTGTCTGTGGAACTTCAAGCATCAAGTCTCCAATATAAATACATCTACTCTTTTTTTTTTTTTTGCTTATTATTCCAAATGTTTCAGTGCTTTTAACTCTTAATACAAAGTTCTTGCAAACATAATTGTTTACAACATATAGTTCATTGCTTCAACGGTAACTAAAAATATAAAAATGGACAGACTATTCAACTTAAAAAATCCATCATGAATAAACTGCCTACCAAATCATCCAGATGCTTGAAAAAGTACTGTGCTTGATGCTTAACTCTGCCTTCTCTTTCCCTCAGAACACTTAAGAGATTAAAATTAATCAAACCTGTATTTCTTTTAAAATGCTGTTTATTCAGTCAAGGCACCCAAAAACAAACAAAAAAAACGTTCTGGCTTTCTATTTCAATCACAGACAAACAAAAATCCCACTGACAAGCACAGACAGGTAGATTCAGGCTGGGAGTCGCGCAGCAGTGACTAGCAGAAAAATCAAACTTGGTAATTTTTTTTTTATTATTTTTTTAAATCAAAGTCTCTCTCGCATTTTGAAAGCAACAGTTTCGTTTTCGGTATTTCAGCACAAACACACACATAAACAAGCGCGCTGCCTCTGCGTTCCTAACTCTGAGTTGCTGGCAAGCGGCAACAGGCAGCAGCACCGCGGAACTACTGGGAAGCGCTCCTGGGAAGTGCGGGATGCAGCGGGAGCTGCCCGTCCTGCTTCCCCGCTGCCCAGGCACGGAACACATCACACACCTCTCCGCTCCCCCGTCCTGGGCTGTCTGCACAATCTGCTCAAGCCCTGGGGATGGAGACACTCCCTTCCTTGCCGCGGGAAAGTGCCGGCTGCCCGGGAAGGTGCAGCAGGGCAGCGCTGTCACAGGGGTGGCAGCAGGGACAGGAGGGGCCGAGAGTCCAGGACCTCCCGTGCCAGGGGCTCATCCCGGCGGGTCCTGCTCTCCTGCCCCGGGGCTCATCCCGGTGGGTCCTGCTCTCCTGCCCCGGGGCTCATCCCGGCGGCTCTCGCCTCTCCCGCTCCCCGGAGCTCAAATCCGAGCGAGCTCCGCCCGTAGAGCGGGAAGGGGAAAAAAAAAAAAATCCACTCCTTACAGGCCCCTTTTCCACAAGATTTAACAACAGCGCAATTCTTGGCGGTGTTGTGGCTCTTTCGCAGCGCCGACACCAAATAATTAAGATTCAAACGATACCAACCTACCGCCAGCAACAAGCTCCCATTATTCTAATCACTCGCACCTCGCCAACACTCACGGCTCCAGCGAAAACACCTAATTAATTACAGGCCGATAAGGGGAGGTCTCGGAGCAGAGAATCGCCTTTTGTGTGCGCGGAGCGGGGCCGCCCGGGCCCCGGGGCGAGCACCGGCCCCGCCGCCGCCGCCGCTCCCGGCCCTGCCCGCGCCCCCCCTCGCGGCCGCCCCCCGAGGCTCGG